AAAAATATATATATATATATATAGAGGGGGGTTATAATAACACCGGTGTAACTTTTACTAAGTGTTACACGCTCAATAACTTTATATTAAATGCGAATTTTGTAAATCCAACCGTTAAATTGAAAGTTCATATTTCTTAGATCATATATACAAAATTTTATATTAATCGAAGATGATTTGACACTTCATTTTTATAAAAAAAAAATTAACGTAATATATTCATTTCAAAATATGCTAAAATATGAACACTTTGATCACCTTCAACTTGTTGTTTAATTTTAACAAAATTTGATATACACATATAAAGTGATATGAACTTTCAATTTAACGGTTGAATTTACAAAATTTACATTTAATATAAAGTTATTGAGTGGTGTAACACTTGGTAAAAGTTACACCAGTGTAATTATAGGCCCCCTCATATATATTTTGAAATAAATATATTACGCCAATTTTGTTTTATAAGAACGAAGTATCAAATCATCTTAGATTAATATAAAAATTGATATATATGATCTAAGATATATAAACTTTCAATCTAACGGTTAGATTTTCAAAATTCACATTTAATATAAAGTTATTAAGCGGTGTAACATTTAGTAAAAGTTACACCGGTGTCATTTGAACCCTCCTCTCTCTCTCTCTCTATATATATATATATGAGGAGAGTTCAAACGACATCGGTGTAACTTTAACTAAGTGTTACACCGCTCAATAAATTTATATTAACTGTGAATTTTATAAATCCAACCGTTAGATTAAAAGTTCATCTCGCTTTACATGTGTATATCAAATTTTGTTAAAATTGAACAACAACTTGAGGGTAATCAAAGTGTTCATATTTTAGTATATTTTGAAATAAATATATTACGCCAATTTTATTTTATAAGAATGAAGTATCAAATCATCTTGGATTAATATAAAATTTTGTATATATAATCTAAGAGATATGAGCTTTTAATCTAACGGTTGGATTTACAAAATTCACAATTAATATAAAGTTATTGAGTGGTGTAACACTTAGTTAAAGTTACACCGGTGTCGTTTGAACTCTCCTCATATAGAGATATCTTAAATTTAGATTTTTAAAAAGCTGAGTAAACTTAAATTCATTGTAAAAAATATACACATTAAAAAAATCATTGTAAAAAAAGAACTATATTTGAGAAATACATTGAGTTTATTAATAGCGAAAAATAATTCTATACATCTATACATATTACAAATGGGATATATTTTGGTAACCACCCCTTTGGTCTCCACTTTTTAGTAGACGATTATACCCCTTAAATATAAAAAAAAATCTTCTTATATTTTTTCTAATCTATACATATTCTATACATTCTATACATATTATAAAAGGGATATATTTTTGTAATCACCTCTTTGGTCTCCACTTTTTAGTGGACGATTATACCCCTTGAATATAAAAAAATCTTCTTATATTTTTTTTAAATAACTATTATAATTTATAATATTTATCTGAGTGTAATTATTAGAGGTACGAAGTGCCTCGACCCCTCTAGTATAAATAATAATAATTGTTTAATGACATAGATTTTGATTTTTTAAATAAAATTAAAGAAAGTTTTGAAATTTAACGTGAAACATGAATATATTCTTGAGAGTGACTTTCGTTAGAAGTCTTTATATGTGAAAAATAATAGAAAATATCAATGGTAGAAAAAAATAAAAAAATAGAGAAATTACTTTAGTAGAAGCAAAGGGTACCAGAGTGTTGGATTTTAACCATATTGCAAAATGGTGATGGTCCATATGCAGGCAAAGCATTAACAACAACCTGAAAACTAAAATTTAAAATTAAAGAAAGTTTTGAAATTTAACGTGAAACATGAATATTTTCTTGAGGGTGACTTTTGTTAAAAGTCCTTATATGCGAAAAATAATATAAAATATCAATGGTAGAAAAATAATAGAAAAATAGAAAAATTACTTTAGTAGAAACAAAGGGGACCAGAGTGTTGGATCTTAACCATATTGCAAAATGGTGATGGCCGAGACGCAGGCAGAGTATTAACAATAACCTGAAAATCAAAATTGAAACTAAATTGTT